TCTTTCAACCTTAATATTCTATGATTCTAATGTTCATTTGTTGGCAGGCTCAATAAGGAAGCTACATGCTACTCCACCCAGGGGTTACAATGTGGGATGATTGATGGTGGTGGGAGTCTTAAAAGTGCCATGGGATTCAGACAAGTGGTTTGAGGACTCGTGACATTCTTATTTGGGGGAGTGAATCTGGTTTCTGACCCAGGGGAAAGACAACTCATGTTTGTCATTCACTAGAGTCATTTCACTTTGTAATGAGCCTCAAAACAATATCTAAACAATGGGCAATCTTAAATGCTATATTAAAATCTATATTTCCGCAGAGGGAATACGATGGCAGCCCTAGGTCTGAGTTTTCTTGCTTTTATTAATTTAACTGAGACTGTATCCAGTGTTGAACTGCTCATGCAACAATGCTGATGTCAGACACAGAAGCAGCTCTAGTAATATGACTACATGTTAGCATTATGACTGTTTGACTTTCCAGGCAAAAACTCAGTGAACTCTACGGTGCAAGAATCATCTTCACTTCAGTGGGAGTTCTGAGTAATAACATGCCAAAAAGCATGGGGGGGGGGGAAAATCAGAACGCACCATCAGTGTTATCATTCAAAGCCTTACCACACTAACCTTACAAGGTGCTAAAATACCACAGTACAGGCACAGTAGAATTATATAGCTAGGACAGCTACTCTGATGGCATAATCCCTATTAATCAAGTTGCCATCAATACCCCCAAACTTGTAGGAGGTCTTAGAGGACTGAGTGAACAACAGGTCTTGAACTCTAAAGCCCAAAGGTTCTCTCTTCAGGGCAGCAGCAAGATGCATTGGTGCAAACAGCATGTGGTGAAGCTAAATTGAATTGGTGCTGTAAAAACTGTCCTTTAAGACAACCACCTAAGTAGCCAATGAACAGTCTCTACCACCTAACACTCTCTGATTCCGAAATCTTTTCCTCCCAATTTCATTCTGCACGATTCAATTTCAACACAGATCGTCAGTCTTTGTATGTATGCAAAGATTTCATTGTGCTAAGCATCTCACAAGTATAGGCAATCCAATTTCAATAACTTTCCTGGCATGACAAATCATAAGTGTTGCCAGAGTCAATATATCAGGACTCCACATATAGGTCAGTTTAGAAAGAACACATTTAAATATACATTTTATAACATTAGAATGATGTAATGTTGCTAGTATGCTTCAGAAAAACCTCAAGGTTATAAGGAACCCTTAGTTCTCAGCCTTTGGCTGCCAGTATTTACCAAAGAATCTATTACTCCCAAGCACACCTATAAAGTCCCATTGAGATCAATGTCACAGGCAACCCAGGACTTTATTACTTTATTACTAAATGTGAAAGTAAATATTGCTTTAAAGGGCCAGTGACAAGATTGTTAGGTCTGAAATTAGATTGCCTAATTGTTCTGGATCTTGCATGATGAACACACACATGTACATGTCATCTTCTCTTCTAAGAACCATAGCAAGCCACTAGGGCCCTATAATTTCAAAGAATCTTGCACTCTAATGTGGACAGCAGAGAAGTGCAGATGGTAAAATTCATGCCTACAAGCCAGAGCAAGTTCAATGCTCTAGGAATGTTTGAAGTCGGCTACCCAACAGAGAAACCGGGTTTCATCCCAACTTGTGGCTCTTCCTTTGGATGGTAATAAAAGTATTGGAGAGCCCTGGCTATTTCCCCACCCACTCCCAAATTAAGTTTTTGTAGACAAACGTTCAGAGGCACTTCAGGGTTTTAGGCAACCGAATCCTGGTCAGTGGGAATTGGACACCAAGCTTCTTTAGCCTCCTTTGCAAATCCGAAACTTAAATGTTATTGGGTTTTTCTGGAGGGTTGGGGACTTTTTTTGATACGTGAAATTTTCAGCACACTTTTCTAAAGTTTTCTAAAACAAAAATGTTGTCATCGGAGGAATTCACAAACGGACATATAAGATTCAACTACTAAGCAGAAAAATAATTTTGTTTCAAATATAAAGTTGTTTTTCCATTGGAGATCCCAACTGCAAAACCAGGTCCATTCATAATTTACAATTGGCAAGGACTTTGTCAACAGTATGTATGTCATATATTAGATTGATGTGACTTCATATCTTGGCTGTTATACTCTAAGTATCAAGAAGTATATTAATGTGAAAGAAATAAAGCATGGTTAAGAGAAACTCCACAACCATGGATCAAAAATTTCCCTCTTCTGCTACTAGTCCAGGAAGGATATCTGGAAGCATTAACTGATCCTGGAAACCTTGATACCAGTTGACCAAAAAAAGTCACATGGTTCAAATTATCTTTTCTTTCCACTTCAATTTTGACATGATTTCAGCAGCTGACTTCTCATAATCTCCAATGTCAGCGGTTCACTGTTATACTACTTGAAGGCGAAGACACCAAGCTACTTTCAAATGGTAAATGGCACCAGTTTCTAACTGTTAAGGCCACATCTATTTTACAGACGTTAGTACTCATTTTTTTGCAACTGTGTATGAATTAGTGTAGACTAGCCTCTGGCAGTTTTACTACATCAGCTAACCTTGCTGGAGGTGTCTACACTATGGAAAAGACGCCTTAGGCCTTGTCTACAAGAACAATTAGTTTGCAGCAAGCTGAAATGGCAAGCTAGTGGCCAAAAGCACTCTAACCACTCTGACAGACTGTGGCAGGCTAGCATGGGACAGATTCATACCCCATTTTACCACAAATTGTTTCTGTAGACGAGCTCTTAGTGTAAATAGCTTGCCAGCTGCCAACATCATTTTATGCATTCTGTTCATGGGACCTGCCCACAGCAAGTCTGAGCAATAGTTTTCAAAGTCATGCTGGCAGTGGAGGGTTGTCTACACTAGGGCTCTCAACATTGTTAGCACTGAGGGAGATGAACGTCCAATGCCGTAGTCAAAGTTCAGAGTGAGCATTTATGAAAGAGTGGTAAAACTGCTTAAAGCCCTATCTACCGAATGCTTGTGTCACTGCTAAAAAATGGGTACCAGCTTTCCTAGTTGCTCCTGAGACAGTGGCTGCTAAAATCCTATCTAACGTCAAGTGGAGAATGACAATACAGGACGGTGATCAAAATAATTTGATTTTTTTTAAAAGGTGCCAATAAGTTGCAACTAGGGCTAACAACAGATGTTTTATATCCTTGAGAAGTTTTCCATTGATACCTAGTCTGGTGATATGCAAGATCTCAGACTAGCAGTGCTTTCTTTGCACTGATCCAGGACTGACTACAGCAAGTCCCATGGACACCAAAATCAACCTAATTTTCATTCCCTGCAAGCAACCTACTAAGCAGCTAACAAACATCTGGCCATTTTGAAGCATTTTCTTTCAGAAATACTCTACAAGCAAATCAGTCACAGCAGAGATCTTCCTCTTCATAATTTAGCCATTTTGGGCATACTGAATAGACAAATTTTAAACCCAAAGATTGGAGCATTTAACAGCATTTTGGCAATCTTTCATTCAAAGGCAGTCAGTTGGCAGTGTATTTTTTCAAAGTTATATCAAAAGGGACAAGCTGTGTCCAAGGTTTCTACCCCAGTTACTAAACCCCACTAAAAATGAACACAATGGGCATAATAACAAGCCTTCAGCTCTAGCACAATTCAGTGGATACTGCCATTACACCTGCCAAGTGGTATCCAGTTAGACCAGAGGTTCTCAACCTTTTTCTTTCTGAGCCCCCACCCCCCAACAGAATATAAAAACTCCATGGCCCACTTGTGCCACAATAACTGGTTTCCTGCATATAAAAGCCAGGGCTGGCGTTAGGGGGCAGCAAGCAGGGCAACGCCTGGGGCCCCATGCCTCAGGGGTTCCCACGAAGCCACGTTGCTCAGGCTTCAGCCCCATGCGACGGGGCTTCGGTGTTCTGTCCTCGGTCCCAGCGAGTCTAATGCTGGCCCTGCTTGGAGGCCCCCCTGAAAACTGCTCGAGGCACCCTAGGGGACCCTAGACCCTTGGTTGAGAACTACTGAGTTAGACCTTGAGACAACGCCTCACGTCTGTGCTGGGTTCGGCAAAGCCATCAACTAAAGGATTTTGGATACTGGCCTAACAGCCCCAAAAAGGAGCAAGGCCCACCCAAGAGCTAGAACTGGGGAGTGAATACCTGTTTCAGCAGCAGATACCATTACAGAAAAGGAGGCAAGGGGAGGGCTCCTTCTAGAACAGACCAAGTCACCCTGGCCTAGATTTTACATTTTTTTAACCCAGAAGATGGGAGATTCAGGGACTGGGACATAGAGACAAATGAAAAGCTCATATCACAGAGACACAGCTTCAGTGGCCAGGAGCTGGTGATGTGCCAGTGTGTGCTGAAGGCAGATGTGCCAGCTCCTACCATCTTTTCCCTGGAAACAGAGGGGATTCGGCACTCTCCCTTCCTTATGCCCATCTCACAGGGATATGAGGGGCAGTGGGCAGATTCACCACCACCACCTCTTGGGATGGGGGTAACACTGTGCCTGGGGGAATAGGGCATGTGTGAAATCCTCCTGGTGGGTGGGGGAAAAGGAGGGCACTAGGGAACAGGGAGTAGCCATGTCTCTGGGCAAGTGACCAGGCACTCCCTAGAGAGGCGGGCATGTTATGGGAGGGGGTTACAGATGCCTCTCACCTAGCTGGGAGAGGAGGGAGAACCCAAAGCAGGAGGGGCTTGGTTTGGGGGTCAGGGTGAATCACTCCTATCCCAGTGGGGGCTGAGCGAAGGACCAGGCCCGCTGGTTGGGAGGGGGACTGCCTTGGTGGGGGTGGCGTCTGGGATCAGACACCCCGCTCCATCTTTCTGACGGGGATTCGGGGAGGGGGTGGCCGGGCCCAACCAGGCTAGAGCGGGGGGGGGGGGGGGGGGGGGGGGCCCCCCGCGGGGGGGGGGGGGGCCCCGCACACACAGGGATCAGCGTGTCTGGGTGGGGGAAGGGCACTGGGAACCAGCCGCCCCCGGGCTAGGGGGAAGCCCCCGGCTGCTCCTCCTACCTGTGTGGCGCTGCCATTGCGGCTCCCCAGCCTCCTCCTCAGGGCGGCGGGGGACCGAACCCCGCGGGCCCGGCCTTCTCTCCCCCAGTCACCGCATGAAGAGGGGCGGGGGCGCCGGGCACCGCAGCTGCCATGAAACCGCCACCTCCCCCGCCGGCTGCCCGGACCAGACGGACAGACTGACTGACAGGCGGCTCCGCCCTCCTCCCCGCCCCCTCGCCGCGCTGACCAATCCCGCCCGAGACGGTACATTCAGAGCCCGCCTACCGAGCCACATCCTCCAATCGGAGCTCAGGGCTAGCAACCGGACCGTATCCGCACCCACCAGCAGCCGGAGAGGGAATGAACTGCGGATCCGAGAGGGGAAGGAGGGAGTGGGGGCGGGGATATAAGCCACGCCTATTAAACGATTAACCAATAGACACCGAGGATAGTTAATGGACAAGATTTCCCACCTACTACGTTGAAAAAGATGTTGAGTGGTAGGATACAGGGGGCGGGACTCCCCTTATTCCAAAGACCAATAGGAATCGCAAGAGGAATTGATAGACAGGTCTCTTCACCTATCAAGTTCAGAAAAGCTTTGGCGTGCCATGCTCTGTGATGGAAGACAATAATCCCCATCTCTTGCTCCCAGGGCCAATAGGTTAGCAGTCTAGCTTTGATTGACAGGTAACCAAACTGATCAGTTACAGGGAGGTTTCGGAGTGGCAGCTCGGCAAACCAATGGATTTTGAAGAGCGAGCTGTCCAGGTCTGTCGTCGCCCTATGAGCTGGGAAAGAGCTCTAATTGGTAGGGAGCGCAAGACGGACAAGGGTATCAACCTATGGGGCGTCGAGTAGCTTAAGTCCAGTTGCTGAAGGGAATTTTGCCTTGCCTCAGTTACCTTTAGGGTGACTAGATGTCCCGATTTTATAGGGACAGCCCCGATTTTTGGATCTTTTTCTTATTACCTCTAACCCCCTGCCCTAATTTTTCACATTTGCTGTCTGGTCACCCTAGTTACCTTTCACCAGACAGAGCCAAGGGAGGGAAGGGGGGGGGAGAGGCTAGAGGAGAAACGTTGAGAGGGATCCATGGGGAGCTGGTAGGGGGTTCCCAGGGAGCTTGGGAGAGGGAGCCCTGAGGGGTGGCAGGGGGTTAGGGATCATTGGGAGGGGGCCCCTGGGGAGTTGGCACTGGCAGGGGGTTCCCAGGGAGCACTGAGAGAGGGGGCCCTCAGGGGTTGGCAGGGGGTTAGGGAGCATTGGGGGAGGGGGCCCTGAGGGGTGGTAGGGGGTTAGGGAGCATTGGGGGAGGGAGCCCTGAGGGGTCCCAGAGAAGCCCATAGGGGATTGGATCAGGAGTGTCAGGGCCCCACGCATTTCCTTAGCCCTTTCTCTCCTGACACAACCTTAATTCTGCCCTTTAACTAGCAACAGTTGGTCAGTTGTGAAGCATGCTATGTATGAGCTTAAATTGCACCCCCTTCCATTGCCCTGAAACTTCACAGTCCCTTAGCCCAATCCCTGGCCCCCTTTTGGCTCATTATGTCTCAGCCCATCAACAGAACATGTCCCGCCAGGAATGGTGCAATGTAGAGCACACTAAGATTCTGCTGCACTGAATGAATGGACAGGACTCCTGATTTTGTGTGGTGGTGGACACAGAGACAGTGACACTGACAGCGTGGCTGAGAGCCAGGTAACATTGCACAATTAGAGAGAAAAAAGTGTGGTGTGGCCAAGGCAATAGAGTGTGACACAGGAGACCTGGATTCACTTCCTGGCTTTGCCACCATCTTCTGTCACCTTAAACAAGTCTCTTATTTCTTCAGGTGGCTCAATTGCTCATCCGAAACTTTGGGATGATCGTGGTACTTCTGTAGTTCCCCCAAATGTTGTGATACTTATCAGAGTGTTACAGATGGACAATTAAGCCACAGGGAGAATAAGTAAAATTAGGTACCCTGATTTCACGTGTGATGAACGATGGAATTTTGGTATTATGTGTGCCTTCATTTCCTTTTATGCTTTGCATTGCTGTGCATGGAATATATAAAGGGTTAAAAGCTGCTCTTGGAGCAAAGGAGGAGACATGAGGCATTCATGTAACTATTGGGGTTGGTATGAATGCATTGTTAAAGGACTGGTTGAAACCAGCCCCATCAATGGAGAATCCAGAAAGACAGTGGGAAAGAGAACCCGAAGGACTGAACAATGGATACCTATCCCCAGAAAACTCCTGCAAGCAGCACATGTGAGCTCATCATGGGTCTGCAGGAGGAAGACAACGGACCAAGATATGACAGGAGGATAGGATAAGAGCTGGCCTTTGGAAGAAATAGGCAGCTCTCACCTAGGACTGAGAGAGAAAGAGAGACAAAGGGACAGAGCGATAGATAGAGAGGAAACCAAGATGGTTCCTTCAGTAGCACAACTCAAGGGAGCACTGGTTTGGCCAGTATGAACTGTGTCTTAATCTTTGCTTTACTTTACTAACCTAAGGACTTTTCCATGCTGCATTCCAGCTTACTAATAAACTTTACTCTGTTTTGAAAAGGCTGTCTAGTGTCACTGCAAATACTTGCTGAAATGTATTGACCCCTGTAGAGGGCAAAATGTTTCAGCATAGGAATCTATCTCAGTTGGACTCACTGGGGTCCACAGGCTCAGGCTCAGAGGCGGTGAGACTGCATGGCCTACCCTTAAGGAAGAGTTGGACCCTTCAGGGCCTGACATACTGATGGGGCTCCTCCAAGGGGCTGTTTAAAAGCTGGGACATAGCACAGATCCTGTGGATCCATGACAACGCAATTAAAGATTTACTTTAGTACAGTGGTTCTCAGTCTTTTCCATACCAGGATGCCTTATTTCAAATGAAGACACACCTCACCACAGAACCCCTCCCCAATCTTGATGGGATCCCCCACCTTTCAGCAATATGGGAAAGATAGAGTGACAGCTATCTCAAGGTTAAGAACAGTTGCCCTACTAACCTAGGTTTTTAGAGCGCCCTTATTACAATAGTGTCTGAGCACCATACAATCTTTAATTATGCTTATTCCATAACTTCCACAGCTGTGGTAAGGACACGTTAATTAATGATTCATTGGGTCTGTAGGAAGCCCGTGTGGTCTCTCTCCGAACCAGAGGGTGAGGAGCCACTCTCTCAGCCTGAGTGAGCGGAGCAAGGCCAAGCTTATTCCATCCCCCGGAAGGGGAGGGGTGGAACAGGAAGTGACAAAAGGCGGGGCCCTTAGCCCAGTCAGGGGAGCACCAGGGAGGGAGACAGACATAGGCTGGTGGCTGCTCCCTGTGGACCCTGCTGCCGAACCAGGGGCTGCCCTGGACCTGGGGAAACCTGAGGCAGAGGAGGGACTTGGGTTACCAGGACTGCCAGCTGCAAAGTATCCCGAGGAACTGGAGGAGCTGGGCAGCGACCTGAGCCTGACGCTGAGGGCAAGCTGGAGCTACCGGGGCTACCGGCAGCTGAATACCCCGATGAGTTGGAGGAACCAGAGATACCCACTCGATAGACCGGGTAGGAAGTAGCCCAGGGGCAGAACTGGACAATGTGGTGAGTTGGTGTTTGGCCAGTGTGTTGCGGATGGATCCCCCATGACCCAGGGTGGGATTCTCCCCCACCCCAACTACTGTCAGGGCCCTGGGCTGGAACACAGTGGAGTTGGGTGGGCCTGCATTCCCCTACACCTTCCACCGTGCCTTGGGGTGGCAAAACCCTGAAAAAGTGCCACGGACCCTTGTCGGCGCTCCCCCTGCATGAGGGGCATGCCACGGACCCTTGTCGGCGCTGCCCCTGCCTGAGGGGAACGCCACGGACTGTTGTTGGTGCTCCCCCTGCCTGAAGGGTGCGTCACGGACCCTTGTCGGTGCTCCCCTGCTGGAGGGTGTGCCACGGACTCTTGCCGCTACTCCTGTGTTGTGCCAACTGCGACATCACACCTCCCTCCGCTAATTTCCTGTTGACAGAGAGGTGTGACCTGGGCCTTTCAGCGAGGCAGTAGCTCCCCGCCACTCCTCAACGGCTTGGCGGACCAACTGAGACTGTGCTACACGTGGTGGAGAATGTGGGTAGCTGATCCTATCCCTGTGGTAAGGGATTAGAACGAGGTGGCCTCTGAGGCTCCCCTAATCGAAGCATGGAGATGGATAAGCTTCTCAAGTTCCTGACCGAGAGCCAGCAACAGCAGCTGCAACAACTAGTTCAGCAGCTAGGCGCCCAGCAGCAGCAGTTGCTTCAGACCTTGGGGGCCCAGCACTGCGAACAACAACAACGCTTCCAGCAACTTGTACCCCTGTGGTCTGGCCCAGGTGGGGCTCAATCTGAGGGGGCAGCTAACCTCCCCCTCTCCCCCCGCCCGCCACACCGATCCGTCTGGCCAAGATGGGGCCTGAGGACGACCCGGAGGCTATCTGGTGACCTTCGAGTGGGTTACCTCAGTGGCTGGCTGGGCACCTGACCAATGGGTGACCCTCCTCGTCCCCTACCTGATGGGGCCCACTCAGAGGACTTACCGAGGACTTCTGGATGATGAAGCCTGCATCTATGCCTGGGTGAAAGCGGCGATTCTGGACGCCTTGGACATCACCCTGGAGACCTTTTGGCAACGGTTTCAGGGGAAGGTCTACCCACTTGGCGCCCAGCCCTGGACCGTGGCCCAGGAATTAAAGGACACCTGTTGCCAATGGCTACAGCCCGAGTGTCGGACAGCGGCTTACGTGACTGAACAGGTTATCCTCGAACAATTCGTACACATCCTCCCGACTCAGGGGAGGGTATGGGTTTTGTGGCACCGGTCCACAACCCTGAGCACAGCCGTCATGCTTATGGAGGACTTCCTAGCAGGGGAGGCCCCGATAGGACTGGCAGCCTGCGCCCCACCCTCCCAGACCTAGCACACAGAAGCCCAAAAAGGGGCTCACGCCCAAATCTGATGGGCCACTCCGTACCCGACGACCGGATGGCGGCAGGACCGACTTCCCTGACGCCCAGAGCCCGCACCCCGCACAGCGT